ACAACTGTAGATACATGAAAATTTCACTGAATGTTTAAATTAGCATTTTCTATACACCATACAATTTTGAAAATATTTTGACTCTTTTTGAGCTGTTTATGGACATTTACAGCTTTCAATTTTTTTTAGTTTTTTTTTCTATAAATATCAATAAAGTTTTATCTAATGGGCCAAAAAGTGTAAAAATAGCAGTTGAAAAATATTAAAAATACATAGGCACAGTTTTTTTTTATAAGCATTTAAAAATCAAATTTTGACAAAATTTATCAAAATATCGAAAATTATCAATCATTGTAATTAATAAATTATAAAATGTTCAGTTTTTATAGCTAAGGATTACAAATTCAACACAAAGGTTCTCATAAATAGTTCATACTATAACCAAAAAATCTAAAAAATATATGAACACACTTATTTTTTACAGACATTTTAAATTCAAATTTGGACGAAATTACATATTAAAAAACCTAGAATAACTATTTTAGTTATTTTGTTGTGATTGAATAATATTATTCGTGGGTACTTGAAACTTCTAAAGTGTACTATTATATATCTATGATAGTATCACGGTTTTTGTTGATGTATAACGCGTTATAAGTACCTAATGGATATTGTGATATGATTAATTTGGAATTCATTATAGGTCAATTTTTTTAATACCATAGATAAGTATATAATATGTCTTATACATACACTGACATACCGTCACCGCTCAGAATCGTTTTTCTTATACAATGATATTATATCATTGAATTCAAATTTAATACCATCCATTATACAGTGACCCACTTGTAACCTACTGTACAGCAGAGCGACACCCACTTGCCCACCTTTTTTTATATATAATTTATAGTCACTTGCGTTACACATATCGTATAACATATACAAAAAATTGTTTTTATTTTTAAGACTAAAAATATAAAATAAAAAATGTGATTTAAATTCTTTTGGATATACTCAAAATAGCCAGTTTGTGAATATGATTATAAGAATAATTTTGATAGTAAAAACATTTATCTAAGTCAAGTAGATTTTTTTTTTTTTTGAAGTATCAGTATTTTTTTGATTAAATGAATTTGAAACGTAATAATTTTTTTCAAAATATTTTTTTTGAGAATTTTCTGACATAAGTATATATTGCTTAAATTATTTACTTATCATATAATTTAACAATTTTTGTCATACATTTGAGTAGCATCAGTTTTTTCTTTTTTTTATTCGTCAAGTATTTCTTTTACACCTTGTATACCGGTGAACATTACGTATTATTAAGCATAGTTTCGATCAGCTGATCTCGGAAACGTAACGCGTTTGAAACCCTACACCAAATCGGAAGCAATTATCATTTGGCTAGCCAACACTGACGTATTCAGTTTCACTGTACTCCGAAACGTTTTCATGTTTTCAATCTTGAAAGTCTGAACCACACTCTGCACGAGCTGCAACCGATCGAACAATTTTTTATTTTTACAATAAGCGTATGAGCGTATTATAGTACATGGTTAGCAACTAGGAATTTTTTGCCATGGAACAAACGGCCACTTGAGGCAATCACTACCTTATTTTGCTAAATTTCTGCGTACACAAAATTTGTTATTTACCATTTACATTTTAAACCACTCGATTCACTTAACTTATGGCAAAAATATTTTTTTGACAAAATATACTTTTCAAATCTTTGAATTCTTAGTTTTACAGCTATTGTAATATACTAATATATTATTCAATAATATCACTTAATATATTTTATTATGTAATATTAACCAATAAATAATACTATTTCGTTTTAAAATATTCTAATCACCAATAAAAAATCCAAAATTTAAAATAAAATTAACAAATTTAATTCAATGTTTAACATAGTACAAAATATAATGAACACAGATTTATTTTAATTTATTTTTAGATAATAAAATCTTGAGTAATCTTTTCTGTACCTACATAAAGTCGTGTTGGAAAGTCGATCCTGGTTCCAAGGCCCCGAGAGATTCTAAAATAGTTTGGAATTTATTATTTAGCACTTCCAAGCTATTGCCACAGTACCAAGAAGAGTTAAATATATAATACAAACGTCTAACATTTTGGAGTAATATGTTACAATATCGTTGATCAATATAAAAGAAGCCATTTCTTGTATACTTTTTTCATTTTTGTTTTCAGTTGTTTCCTTCGGTGAAAACATTCTGCCAGTTAAATCCTTACTAATATCGTCTTTATAAAATCAATAATCATACGAAAAATTTTACGATTAAACCAAATTCGTCTACTATACCAAATTGTACGACTTAAGAAGATAATATTATAGTGACGCACAAACAGTCTCCGTAGATTCAATTGAGTTATAATTAAGTTGTATAGGAATGGTGACGACGGGAATAAATGATTATCATATTCTATCTCCGCCCACCGCGTCATAGCTTAATGTTATTATATATGAATTGTTTGGGAGCAACAAAAATACGATAGTAGATTATTCATATATACGTGTCATAATCTATCCAAAATTCGTCAATAAACACACTTTGTTACATTGTGAACCATACATTCTACACATTATTATTATAATATCGAACAAAATGGGTGTGTCACAGCTTTTGTGGAAGGGGGAATGCCACGGCTATCCGGATGGATTTTCCGGATGCACTGCGTGTGGATGATATCATCGGCTGTGTTACGATTTACAGTTTGGGCCAAAGATTCAGTCGCGGTCGGTCCCTCTAGCGCGAGTAAACGAACCGTACGCGTCGATTTAAATAATAAAAAAAAAAACATCCCACACGCGCTCACTCGTAAACGCATATAATAATATGCCTATAATATCATACGACGAACGTACTTTTTTAAATGTACCTATACATTCCCCTACGTTTTCCTTTTCGTGTGTCTCTATTATTCTCGGGAAGGGAAAGAAAATATACGCACCGACAAAAAAAAAAATCGTTCGCCCACGCATTTGTGTATAATATATTCTCGTGTTCAAATAATCGTATTGTATATTGTATATTGGTGGCACACGTCGACCATTAGAATAAGAAAAACCGGTAAAAGCTTAAATCGTCGAAAAGCTATAATAGGTATAATACTGCACGTTCAGTACCTCGAAGTCGGTGCAACTCGTTTGCGCACAATCCAAATTGTTTACCTAGATATCGATGACTCGTTTGCGCACAACGAATACCGTCGTTAACCTAAAAACGGACGACTCGTTTGCGCACAACATAAACACTGCATAACATATATTTTATATTTTTAAATTTGGACTAACTTAAGTAATTGATTATCAGTACATCAGCATATCAATATTCAATATATCATTATCATCATTGAAAATAATCGACGTGTATTAAACATAATATTTTTAAGCAGTCGTTCTCCGGAAAGCGGTACTACCTACTGACTAGTGACTATGGATATCGAAATTTGTGATATTTTTGAAAGAGAATTTCGAACTTTAAAATCTAGTGATACACATTTTAGGTGTACAAATAAAAAATGTTCCTTGAGTGATGTAGTAAGGTTAGTTAATAATAAAAAAATATAAAATTTTAAAAATTAAAAACACGCATAGAACCACTATTACTTCTTATTAATTGTATAATTATATATTTATTCAGAACAGACACACACGACATGCACATTTTTAATCTGTACAAAACAGATGGTCCTAACTCCTAAGCCTATATTAAAGTGAGAAGAGAAATGTGCTGTTCTGCTCAAAGTGAAATGTGCGCAAATGAGTTGTACCTTTATAATTTAAACCCAAAATATGTGTGCGCAAACGAGTTGTGATTTTGTGCGCAAACGTGCCGTAAAAAAGGTAAATGTGCGCAAACGAGTCGCACCCCCTCGAAGTATGCATCCCAAACTTCTAAAAGTCTCGAGTATCAATATAATAGTGGTGCCTCTGTGTAGAGAATTGTTCATTATTTTTTTAAATCTTTTTTTTCAAATAATAAAAATAATAAATAAACAGTAGGACGTATGTTTTTTGTCTGAATTAGAGCAGGTTATTTTTTTTTCGAGAATAATTTAGACAATAGACTATGAGGAGTTCGCAAAAATTAAAACGTATCGTGTTGGAATAAATTAATCTTGTTTATCTTGTTTGATCGATTTTTTCTATAACAAATCGTAAACACATATCGCCTTATGATAATATTATTAGAAATACAGCATAGAATTAGGTACATTAATTATTTGTACAAGATTATATGAGACATTTGAGACGTATACAAATATACAATATTAAAATAATAATATGGTAATATAATATCATTAAAAACATCGATGTTGTCAACGCTTAAGATAGGTATTTAAACTGTCGCGCGGCAGTTTAAGCTTTCGATGACGTTGGATCCATATGTCACGTACGGACCTCATATTATAATAATTATAATATAGGTATTTTAATATTGAATTTCGTGGATCTGGCCAAAACTGTACATTTTTGTTTGTTCCTCGAACAATATCAGCAATTCCATCGCCATGTGAAAAAGTTCTAAAAATTGGTTTCCAGTCGATTTAAATTCACAGGCTTCCGGCCAACCGCGGTGCTCATGCATATATAGCTTTGATATCACTTATCACATTTTTCGTTCCAATAAAAAATTAAAAAGTACTTACACGTGTGTTTTTACATGTGAACAGAATAGTAATCCCACGAAAAAAGTTCTGACACTGTATGACGTATCATACGGTACTATAATAAACGGTAAGAGTACGATTTGAATGTCCCATATATTTGTCGTATAATACGCTGTTTTATTATTATAACGAGTGTATCACTACAAATTCAAAGGCAATTTCCATATAAAGTAAATTGTCAGTACTCGCTTTTTCCGGTGCACGGAGTGTGTACCAACTCGCCGCAGCCGTTGTCCTATTGGTATATAATACCAGCAGGCAGCAATAATTGTAATGTAAATGTTTTTTTTTATGTTATTGTGTGTCGGTCTTTACCATTTTTTGTTTTTCCATAACAGACTTTTACCTTGTTTCAGGGTAAGACTTGCAAGCTGAACATGCACAAAAACATGTACTACAAAGGTGAGTGGACACAAATTCGTTTTGAACGTATTATATTATATTATTATTACTTTGTAAGACTGTACCGCAATGTCATATGGTTTTCAAGGAACGTACTCGCGTATTGTATAATAATATTATTATGATAATCTATTAGTACGCTTTTGAGTCACAAACGTGGTTTTTTTTTATTCAACGTTTATAATTTTCTTTACGTCACATCCCTCGAGTGTCACTCGTCATAACGCAAAGGTATTATATAATACTACTTATATTATTAATGCTAGCTTCATACGTTAAAAAAAAAATCCTTGTTTGAATGTTTCATATTATTTTCGTTTCTTGGCAAGCTCGTTTCACTTTTACGAAATGTTCAGTTCGTCCATCCGCTACAACAGCGAAGGCTGCAAACGAAACGACGAAACTCGATTTCTCTCCAAGTCTTATTCCGTCTCACGTTACAGTTCACTATATCGTGATTCACACATACTACACGAATATTGATCTTACTGGATTTCAAGGATTAAAACTAACTCAATCACAGATCCATTTTCCTGGAGCCCCCACCTCCGATTATTTCATTCAAACCAAGAGCTTTCGTTTGTGCTGCGTTTTTGTTTAAGTTTCAAGATTTGTGCAGCAACTCATATAATGATCCATTATTAGTAATAAACTACAACGGATTTGTAGTGAGGGTGCTGGGGAAACAACTTTTCAACTATAGTATCAAGCGACAAATACCAATAGGACATCTATTTTAAAAACTAAAGATTTAGAAATGTATAAAAAAATTTTTTTCTAACATTTCTAAATTTTCTAAATTGAATTTATAGGTACTAGTTGCAAATAGTCGATACTTGGCTGTACTTGACAACGTTGTGGCAGATGTAGTTCATTAGGGGTTGCAGTACAAACGATAAAGCACTTGGTTTGAATCTGAAATTCAGAGTTGGGTGTGCCGCGGAAGTTAGTTTCTCATCAATCACCTAAAATAATCTACTTTATTGTAATCATCTTGTCCACTATATATATATATTCTATTGTATATAAATATAATATAATATACTCCATGATATACGCGCGTATGAAATACCGTCTGTGATTTATCGAGACACAATTATTATTATTATTATTTACATAAAGCTATATTATACTTTGCTGCACCATCGCTGCAGTGTTGTTTACCACCCCGTTTCCCTGGTCGAAAGCTTCGGAAAACTTTTACCGCAATACCTCTACTCGTTATTATCGTTATTAACGTAATTTCACGACGACCGCCGCCGCGATCTATATTATTATTATTACTATTATGAGCAACGCCGCCGTTCCAAGGACCCAAATAGTTACACGCAGGTACGATGTGTCATTATCGAACGTCTCTAATGACAATTTATTCGTGCGGGAAACGAGGAAACCCGTCGACCCGATGTACCGAGGGTTAAGTACGCCGCCGCGGTTTCGTTCAATTATTTCGCCGGAATTAGACGCGTTTTAAAAGCGAAATTTACGGTTACCGCGGTATAATATCGTTACCGCTATACACGGTGGGCTGTGTACAATACATAATATAATAATATAACTTACGCCGCGAGCCGTATATATAGGTCTAATAATATATAATATATACATACACGAAGGTACGGTTACCATAGATCCCCTCCCGGTTTAACCTACGTCCGGCAGGCTCTCGAGATACACTCCAACACAAACACCGATGATATTATTTCGATACGCGCCACCGTATAAATTATTATCAAACAAAACTTGACCCGACTAAGCCGGACTTAGCTAGACACGATCGCACTGCACACTCCCCGTCGTCCCATCCGTCACAAAGTGATACCCGAGAGCAAACCGTATCAATTCTCCTGCTCCCCCGCCCCCCAACCCAGCGCAATCTTCAGTACCTATGTACTTATATAATATAATAATAATATGTTATACCCGGAATTACTTTTTAGACTACCTAAGTATATGTTATTATATATTATAATGTATAGAGGTGCGTACACCGTTCAGTATTATTATTATTATTGTTATACGATGTGCCGCTTTGGCGAGACCTGCAAAGTTTTGACTTAAGCCGCACCGGCGAGATTTATTATACGTTTTGGCTTAGAATCGACTGCACCAGAGATGAGAGGTACTCTCTATCACATACATATATAGAGGCACCCCGCGGCACCCCTTTCTCTGTGGTCTTGTCTTCGCTCGACGGACGCAGTTTTTCAACCCTTTAAAATCCACGCCAGACGGCTTTCGACTTACTACACGATCTACACGATCACTTGCGAACCTACGAATCAGCGCCGCCGTCAGACTATAAGTATAATACCATCGAGCTTTCCTGTCCGCGAGTTTCGACTTTCCGACGAGATTACATTATTATTATCTACGTGATGAACGGCGCCCGAAACAACTAAAAGTAGACAAATCATCGAGTCGATTACGTCATGACGATAGTAGTTTATACTTGAAAAAAAAAACCATATTATATAATATTATTTTTGTGGCAGAGACGTTTTATCTACGAAAACGACATATTATCTACATCACGTAGAGCGCTGATAATAATATATTATACAAACGTTCGAGTACGTTTTCCTGTTCCCAGCGTATTGGCATTTTCAAAATTCATTTTTGCAATTTTTAGGAAAAGGTATTTACACGGCTATAGTCCAAAATATCTATTTAAAACAACTGTTCATTCACGAAACAATTTTTATAATAATTAGCATTTTCCAATTCACATTTTTTAATTTCCTACAGTTATTATGTCACATTTTTTTTATAGTTTTTCATTTATAGTCATGACTATATTTTCCACAGAGCTTACAAAGCGCGCTCATTCAATCCAGTTAACGAGACGATCACTGAAAATAATATAATACGACTATACCTAATAATCACGCTATGCGGTTGAACGTTAAAAAATTAGAAAAATTAGATGCATTTTATATATTTTTATACTCGGCGCGTGTTGTACAAACTTTTTTTACCACTCGCTCATAAAAAATTCAAAGGTTGAAAAATTCTTTGAATACAAATATTGCCCGGCAGAACTTTGTCCCATCGCGGTCGTTAACTTTTCTCTTTTCTCGTTTTTTTTCCCTATTTTATTTAGTCTCCTCCGTCTCCCTTAGTCGCTCTCCGTAACCTTTCCGTCGGCCGTACATTCGCAGTTGTTTAATCTACTCGGTGTTGTCAACGCTTCTCACGTCCCGGAATAATAATAATAATAATAATAATAATAATACAAAAAAAAAAAAAAAACAAATAAAAAATAAAAGTAAATAAAATTGACTCTATTCAATTTATTCGGCGCGCTCATATACACTTCCAGTGCGTGTATAGTCACTGCAAATTTCTTGACGCCTCGAGAAATATTATTATTGGCATTTTTTCCTCACGGTCTGAAAAAATAGATGATGCAGACATGTACCTATATATAGAGTTGCGTAGTAGCGAAAATTATGCATCACTCGAATATAATTCGCCGTCGCTTCTTTCTTCCACTTCTCCGTCTTCTCCTTTTTTCTGTCCTACTCTCTCTCTCTCTCTCTCTCTCTCTCTTTTATTATTACAAATTAAATCATCATCGGCATCGTTTTTTTTTTTTTTTTTTTGTTTCAGCCAACGATTGGACATCGGATTCGTTGTACCAGATATAAATTTGGTAAACTATATTGTATATTATATGTCAGTCGTTTTTTTCTCGGCAACGGCGATAGTCTTATCAGTACCTATATAGGGCCTTGAAATACTATCGAACATAAATTCGTTGGGCTCCGCGGGTTTTACGGTAAAAAAATTCGATCGTCCAAAACTCCCCGAAAGGAAAATATGAAAAAAAAAGTGTGTGTGTTATCAGTACGCGCGCGGGAAGTTAAACTTCTTTTGAATGGTACACGTGAGTGAGTGAAAAAGAAAGAAAGGCATGGATAGACTGGATAATGAGGATAATAAAGAAATAAAAGAAACAATGTAAATTATATTTTTTATATTTTTTTTTTTTAATTATTATTTGTTATGCTAATGATTGATTATCATTTTGCTCAATCGGTATAGTAGTTATGATTGGCATATGATGACTGAAATACGAAACGTACATTTGCGACTGAACATTATCCATATATCGAGTAAAAATTGCATCGATTGTTGTGCCTGATTTAGTAGTCGATATTGTTGGATCATTATTCAGTTGCAATAATATATAATATAATATATAATATAACAACACTACCATGACAATATTTATTTATTTACGGACATGTACGCTTTCGCGTTCGTACGGCCGCCCGTTCGCTTTTTTTTTCCTCACTACAATGCGTAAAGAAGTATAACTTCAATAATATTTAAATACAAAAATATATAAGCATAACAAGCTGTCTATAATACACGTGTGTATTTAAATTTCCTATTTTACGGACCAGACGCACGCAGACTGTCACGATTGTATAAATCGTCGGTGGTTGGGAGGGATAGAGGTCGAGTCGGTAGACGGCAAACAGCAAAGACCGATTAAGCGATCGAGTGGTGTATATAGGTAAATGTTTTTCACGGTTTCCGTGTAGTTTTTTTTTTTTAAATTAAATTCAACTACTTACCTATATGTAGTTTAAATTCTCTCTGAGACTATGCAACAACGATATAATTTATACCTCACCAACAATAGACGTGTAAAAAATGTGTTTTACGTACTCTTATTTGAAACTTATTGCTTGCAGCTTACGTTTTATACCTAATACCTACGCTGCGGGTAAATTGATTAAATTGGCGTCTATTATACCGTCTTGCTGGCATCGTGACGATGGTTCTGCTTATATTATTATTATTAATGTTTTGTATTTATTTATTTATTTGTTTATTTGTTGATTGACATTAATTTAGGGTATTTTGAAATAATAATATATAATAAAAATGTATAAATGAATTAATTCCTATATAGGTAGTAGCAGGTGGAGTTATTTTGGGCTTATTTTTGCCATGTACATTTTTGGCATGCAAAAAAATCAATGAGATATTCTACTCAATACATAGTTATTAATTCAGTGATTAGTGATTGGGATATGTAGGTATATAGACAATTAGCAAGGTTGTATATAATGATCTACCCCAACATGTATTCAGTCATGCCACGGCTGTTTCCAGGGGGTTTTCATTTCATACTCCCTCCCCCGAAAAAAAACTATTAAAAAAATATTATTTAATATTTATTTAAATTATCAAATATAATTCTTGTTGTTATTCAACCCCCTCCCCTCATGTTATGCTCAGTTATATGTTGCTATATTATTACGAGTAAGATCGTTTGACAAATTAAAAATGCAAATACTACCAGAAAATAAAATAAAAAGTATACAATTAACATTGTATTACCAAGGACGTTTTATAATTTTAAATAAGTATATCACTTAAACGGTTTAACTATTTTTTACAACATTTTAGATTCTGAGCGGTGCAAGGACGCTTGTAGTTTTACAATGATGTTTATTTTTTTTATCCTGTTAACACAATTTCTACCACAAGGAGTGCTTCGATTTCAACAAAATATAGTATATCTTATCTTTTAGAAAATTGGATAAATATAGTATCTACTTTAGAAAGGTCATTTTTCGATTTTCTTAATATTTATTTAATTGCACAGGAAAAACCACCGACAAATTACGAAAAACCGCTAAAAATGGGATTTTAATTTCTAACGCTTTGTTTATCACCGTAGAAACGAATAAAAAATAATAATACCTATTATGATATAAATTCAAATTACAGGATATAATAAATAATAACAATATCCAGACTGACAAACCGTCTCCGCTCCGAATCGTTTTTCTTATACAATGATATAATATCATTGAATTCAAGTTTAATACAATCCTTTACACATTGATCCAATTGTAACCTCTACTGTACATCAGAGCGACATCCACTTACCCACTTTTTTATATTTACTTGCCGATCACATTAAACGATAAAATTGTAATAAAAAATTATACATATCATCGTCCGAAGGCAAAATAAACAACCAATCACGGGCGAAGCTGTGACGGGTCGGCTAGTATTCTATAATATTGTAATAACATTTTTTATACCATTTTTGTGTGATATATTATTTGCACGGGTTAGGTACAGCTGTCAGCTAGTAGTAACCTTTTGAATTTCTGACAAATCATCGATTAAATATAATAAACGATTGAAATAGTATGTAAATATAATAATTATTATAGTCTACACAAATTCAGTGTAAATGACTATCGACGATGATATTGTCTCGTCATCCGGTCCGTACAAAGAATTTAAAAAAAAAAGGGTTTCCGTCCGTCTGTTCTGTTGCAACTGTTTGATGCGCAACATTAATACAAATTTACCTGCGACCCCCCCCCCCCTCTCCCACGAAAGTAATAATAATAATATATTATGTATGTACACCACCATATTATAACGAGGGCGTATATTATTATAATAATATGCGCATACGTATACCGTATACCGGTTACCGGGTATATTATGGTACAATATTATTGGCTATTTGTCCTATTTGCTATGTGCGATATATATACGCTTTATCTGATTATTATTAATTATAATTATTTGTAGCATTCTTGTACGATTCGGAGAGCTGGTTTGTACTCGTTAAGCCGATTCGTGTGATGTGCATAATATATATATTATCCGATGTAAACGAGGCTTGTTTTAGATACGCAGTCAAACAGTAAAGTTAATATTATTATTATAATTATTATCAGTACTCGTCTTAACTTGGCTTCCTGATATATTTTATTGATATATTCATCATGTTTTTAAACGGAATGACTAATTATTACTTATTAGCTATCAGTAATGAGTATTATAATTTATGTACCCATTGAGGCAATAATTATCATATTATAACAAGGTTACTGCACCATAGGTAAAGGTACTTCTATAAGTCACTTGAATCATGTAAAAAAACAGCTCAAAAATTGACCAAAACCTAGTTTCATGACGATTAATCATCTCCTATATCACTTAATGTATTATTATGTACATTTATTATACATAATATTATTATTATCTATATACGTAGGTATATACAATAATGATATCTAGTGTTTGGAAATTTCATGAAATTTAAAAAAATGAAATATTTCAAAATATGTGAAATATTTCAGTATTTTAATATATTTTGTTTTATTTTTAAATAAGTTTTATATTTACATATAATTGTCATAAATTACCTTCATCACTATATGGTACCTGTATGTATACCTAACCTTTGGTATTATACATTTAAATTGGTATTCAAAATTTTTAAATATTTTAATGTTTAAATGATACAAGTAGGTATACATTATTATATATGTATACTGTATACTTACTGAATTCTGACATTAGAATTTAGAACACTGAACATTGTGTTAAAAAAATAAATAAATTGTGTTTTTATTTGTGTTAAAAAAAATTTCAATGTTTCACGTTTTTGTGAAATATTTCACGACTTAGTGAAATATTTCAAAATGAAATATTTCTCATACTTCAAACACTAATGATATCCCCGCGTTACGATTAATCGACGACTTGCAGTCATTTATTTCGTAATGTCAATGTTGAATAATTATGTTTGCAATAAATAATTATATTTTGATTTAATAATATTGTTTTTATTGTTATTATTATTATTATTACTTTTTTTAATATTCTAGTTTTCACCGGCGGTTTTTGATATTATAATAAGGCTTTCTGCGGAACCGTCGTCGTCGTCTCGCGTACCGTTTCTTCCGGCTTCCGACGGTTCGACCGGAACAGCACATTGTCAGCGACGGTTTCCTCGACACCAAACAACGGACGGTACCGGTCTAGGACCGAACAAAAATATATGCCGCAAACCATGACAACAATGTTATATTATCATTCCTTCATAATATTTAGTAATACTTATCGTTAGTTACCTGTTAGTGGTCGCCTCTATCTATAATAATATCAAATAGTATTATCGTGCACGACGACTCGTCTGATGTTGACGACGGAGATGGGGATGATTGAATGATGAAAAAGGGGGGGGTGTTATCAACTTGTGTTCGTAATATATGTTATTATTATTACTATTATTATTGTTATGGTCATCGTCGTCGTCATCGTCGTGTTGTAGTCGTGGTCGTTAAAATTACGTTCAATAATATATATTTTGTATTGTTGTTTTATCACCGTTCGTAAATATGAATGTACATATTATTATTATTATTATTATTATTATTATATACAAACGTATAACAATTATTATTATTATGATTATTACTATGCTACGATATTATATATTATTATTATGTAAATTGATTTACTATTTACGATTTATGTTGTACGATATATATATATAATAATAATATATTTAGAGAATAGTTTGTAATAATATTGTACCGCCATAATAATATATTATATTATTATTATTATTATTACTATTATTATTAACCTGTGCGAAACGCGACGGTGAATATTGCTAAAACAATCGCACCGACGGAAACTATACCGAATACATTATAACGCGATATTATAATAATATTATTATGTAAAACATAGCTGGCGTGTGTATACGCCGGTTCAACCATGATATTGTTATATTAATAAGTGTGTACAACTGTTATTGTCTGGCTTCTCCCTCGATATAATAATTGTTCTATACAGGTGGTTATTGTAA